AGTGTCTTGAAGAATATCTAGTCTAATATTATGTGCTGTCATCATGACAAAGAGAAAATAAATCAGTTATTAGAGATGAGTTATTAACACTATTATGATTAGCAATGTGCTGGACAAATGACAGTTTCACAGGAGGGTGAATAATTTTGACTTCAGCTGTATGTGTAAAATGATTATTGCTTGTGTTCAGTTTGCTCAGTTCAGGGATCCTCCTCTTATAGTAAAGTGTGTTAATCTGTGTGTTATCTGTGTTTGCTTGATCAGGCCTCCAGAGCTGGAGCTGAAGAACGCTAAAGGACTTTCCTTCGACAAACAAGAGAAGCTCAATGTGGAGCTCAATAAACTGGCCAGAGAGCGGTGCGGAGAGGTGAGACTGAACACACACACACAGCTAGCAGATTTAACCCCTGTGTGCTGTTGGGTCGTCTTCATCCACTCTGGGCTGATTTTGAGGCTTAATTTGTCCACAGCTTTCTCTGTGTTTCAGCATATGGGATGATTTTTGGATGCAACTCTTATTTGTAAGGGTTAGGGTTATAAGTACAAGGCAATGAAATGCAGTTTAGGTCTAACCAGGAGTGCAATATCAGCAAGTGCAGGATACAGATATCAGTTATAAAGTGCAGTTGTAGAATAACTATGGTGATATTTACAGATGGATGTACTATCAACATTATATACAGGATGTATTAGCGATGAACAGATTTTCAATAGATGAATATATGTACAGGTTGCTATTAATAATCAGAGGTATGCAGAAAGATATGAACATAACTACAAATGTATGTACAGTGGATATGTACAGTTCAAGAGGAATAAGTGCAACGTAGTGCGATGAATATGTACAATTTTGACAGCATATAATCATGCATTCTTGATTGTTGCTGGTTTTCCCTGTCTTGAACAACTAAATGAATGCTTAAGTCTATTGAACTGATTGTAATGTAATTACGTTACAACATCGATGCTGTAAAAGAAACCGTATGAACTTGAAAATAGTCACATTTATCTTTCACCAGACATTTATCGGCGGCTGAAAACACTATCCCTATATAGAGCCCTTTCGCTGTATCATTAGCCAGATTACACGAGCTGGATGCACTGGTCAGATGCGCTAGAAACAGCACACTGAGGACACCTGCTGGCTACAATAGGCTAATGCAAAATTAAAAGCATAAACTAAAAGTAAACCAATTGTTATTATTTTGTCAATGTGGATGCAAATGTCTTTACTGCCGTATTTATCGTAATTGAATAGTAACACTATAATAACTGCACACTATATTAGCGAATAGGTCATTCCTCATTAGTTAGGCAATAACTCTACATCAGTGGTTCCCGAACTTTTATAACTTGTGGCCCCCTAAATAAAAAACACATATGTTTCTGCCAGCCCCCTTAAAATGTGGCAGGTTAGTAGCTTCTGTTAGTAACAGAAGAAATCTTTACTGAATAAACTGCCAATAATTTTAATAAATATGTAATATATATGTATGATTAAACTAGTGCTGTCAGTCGATTAAATGAATCGGGTTTAATCACATTTAAAAGACTGAAACGTGTAATTTTGGCTATTTGAATGTGATATTAATGTAAACGCAAGACAAAAACTATTTAAATTAAAGATAGAATTGTTTATAAGAATCTTTGTTTATCTTGTAACACAGATTTCTTCATGTAAACAACATACCCACAATAAACCATCAAGATCCTGGCTTGACAGCCATATTTATTACAGAAATTAAACACAGGCATGTTAATGACATTTAAATTTCAAAACAATCAATGCCAATAAAGAAAACATTGATTTGCAAGTTGGATTCTAATTGGACTGCAAAAAATGCCAAAATACAGACACTGCAGATATGGAAAATGAAAAATTATAATAATAAAGTATTGAACACAAACAATTGTACTCGTTGTAAAGTTGCTGTGAGTTGAAAATGTTAGTTATAAAGCAGAAACAGTTTTGCTCGGTCCTCCTTTACATTCAGCCAGTTGCTAAAACAGTCCAGTCTGTTGACATTATCGGGGGACAATGTGGACCTTTTGTTTTGAATGATGTGAGCTGAGAGTGCAACGCAATCTCACGGCAATTTGTAACTTTTTCATTTAGTGGCTACAGACAACGACGTTTAGGCAGGGTTGTTGCTAAGAAGCGCACAGACACACAGACCAGGTCCGTGGACAGGGGGGTGGCCCGGTGGCTAGAGCCTCTGCCCTCATTGGCTGAAGTGCCCCTCTCAGGAGGCACTTGCTCTTCACTTTGCGATCGTGTCGAGCACCTGCCCCTGTAATGGTCTGTGATCTGTGCACGGGCTTGACACAGACACACACACACACACACACACACACACACACACACAGACAGATGCACACACATAACGCCCACAGGAAAGGTCAGGCGGAGCGACTCCCTTCAGATTCAACACGCATGATCGCCTTCATCAGATCTGCTTTAACTAAGTGTTCTCTTTTTTGTGGTTAGTTTTTTATTGATTTTGATTGTACATGTGAGTGGTTGTAGCATCTTTACAATTTCCTTTCAATAAACAAGATCCACTCCTCAACCCCCCCC